ATTATTTTCTATTGCACAATACTTCTTATTGAACTTTAAAAAAACAACTGTGATTAAATATTCACTTTTTTAAAATGTTTTATTAAAGTGTATTACATTAAACTTAAAGCGGATCGGTCACCAGAAATAAACTATATCATCTGTTTCTACATACAGTAGCTCCATTTTTCTGAATCTCTCTGTGCTGACATTTTCATAATAAAATAAACATTTTATTTTTATTTAGAAAATATTTTACCAGGAAGATTTTACATAAAGAAGATGTGTACTACTTTACCTTATGTATAGCAGTCAAGTTGACCAAAGACATATTGTAGGGTTCTATCCCACCATCACAGCCTTGTTTTCTGGGGTCCACTAAACCTCTCTATTCTTTGGGCAGACCTACCAACTATATTGGTAGGCTCTTCCCTTTGGGCCAGACCAACTTTTGCTTGTCTTAACTTGTCTGCTGCTGTATGTAATTGCTCTGTGTAAACCTGATGTAGTAAACAAGTTAGGCTGAGTACCAATTGGTCAGATAACAGCAGAATCTGATCGAACATGGCTGCTCAGCTGGATAGAAAATGCGAAAATCAATACACATCGTGTAAAAAAAATAAAAAATAAAAAATCATGGCATTTACATAAAAGTAATTCACATTTAAAACAAACAAGTGAAAACTTGTCCTTTAAGGATAAGAAGGCATTCAGTCAGATTTTATCATAAATGCAAAAAAAACCAAAAAAACAAAACAAAAAATTATAAAGATCAGGATGACTACCAAAAGTCCTAATAAAAATATGGAGAAGCAATTACTTAAACCTGTTCACAATAATCAAAAGAGCAGGAAAATCAATTGTGATACAGTAACCTTAGTCATCTTTAATCACCACTTTTAAAATATTCGTGCTAAATTACTTTTTGTATACAATTATATTAAGCTCTATCAAATAAAACTCCAGTGGTTAATTATTTATTTGTGTGCAATAACAAATTGCCCTATTCTACAGAGAGACAAATCAACTTCTTCTCTGCCAGAAGGGTTGGGACAGATGGATAGAAAGAACAGATCCAAAATCTCACTTTCATAACTGCAGCCTCATTAACAACTAATTAATTGAAAAAGAAATGCTACAAATCCTTCACATACATAAATCAGTAGTTTAGAAAAAGTGGAAAACAGCTGATATAGATTGTACCTAAAAAAATAAATAAAAAAAGAGAAGGGGCCATTTTTGGAACAGTATTCATTGCTTCTAAAAGCATAAGTGGTCATGGTGGAAGGAGTAACCCTTTAATTGCTTAAGAAGATTTTAATAAATACTACCCTATTTTCCTGTGATGTCAGTACTGCATTCATGCCAGGCCAGTGTTTTTTTGTTTGTTTGTTTTTTTACAGTAATAACACTTTTGTCTACCTAACTTCTCTCTCCTACTTGACTTTTCCTGCTTGGGGGCATGTCCATCAAATCTATCTTCTCTGCCATTAAAAGAAAATTTAAAAAAAGTGAGTCTACGATAACAGGTTTAACGTAATTTTGTTTAAAATCAGTGAGCAGTATCACAAGGTCGTGCTACAATAGTAAGTAGGTTGTGTGGGCAGTGATGTATCCTGGTTTTGTGCTGCCCTAGGCAGGACAAAACGGAGGCGCCCTCCTCCCCCACCACCTGCCCAACCCTTTCCCACCCCCACACACACTCTCACTCACTGACACACACTTACTAAAAGAAATACACACACTAAAAGACACACACACACAGGTACACACACACACACACACACACAGGTACACACACACACACACACAGGTACACACACTAACAGGCAAACACACTCACACACTAACATACACACACACTGGCAGACACACACACACACTCACTAACAGGCAAACACACACACACTAAAAGACACAGACACACACTAACAGACACACACACACTTACTAACAGACACACACTAACAGGCAAACACACACTAACATACACACACACTGGCAGACACACACACACTGGCAGACAAACACACACTCACTCACTAACAGGCAAACACACACACACACTAAAAGACACAGACACACACTAGCAGACAGACACACACACTAACAGACACACACACTCACTCACATTGTCCCTAGTGTCTCCGTGTCCCAATGTGTCTACCTATATCTCACAGCATCCCCATGTGTCTCAGTGTCTCCACATCTCCCAGTGTCCCTAAGTGTCACCATGTGTCCCCTAGTGTCTCAGTGTCCCCATGTCTCCCTTTCCCCTCATCTCTCACTTCCCTCACTTCCCTGAGCTGTAGACTGTCTCTGCAAGCTGGGAGCTGCTGTCTGAACTCTCTGTGCTGTGTAGCTGCTCCCCCGCGGATCAGTGAGTAGAGAGAGGCAGGGAGGGATATGCTGTAACTTCCTATCCCTGCCTCTCTCCATACACAGTGACCCCTACTGGCCGGTGCTAGTATTGCAGAGTAATCTCCGTTTATACTGAGAAAAATTTTGCATTCTTATTGCCGGTATTACTGCAATACCATCACGGCCAGGCAGCCTCAAATACAGGATGTGCCTTAAAATACCAGTCAGATGGCAAACCTAAGAGTAGTGTGTTAAAAAAGCAAAACATTTTTTTTGAATTGGCCTATTCCATGGGCCTGGGCCTGGAGCTGCAGCTCCATCAGCCCCTATGTTAATCCGGCCCTGCTCATGGACATTAAATATTTAAGTTGTGTAACCAGATCAGTGTCAGAATCTGTGACATCAACCTTTCTATATTGTGTCTTGTTTTTTTAAAAATATTTTTATAAGCAATTATTTAGTTTTTTGTTGTTTCTTTATAAATGTTCTAGTATAAGTAAGAATACAAAGAGGCTAACTATACATATCAAAATGAGCAAAAAGGGAGGCGGAGCCTGACCTCCATATTGGATACACATTTTTTGAGAGCTCCTTGATTGTTATAGACTTGCCTTATCTCGGACTTGGTTGGTCCACCTTGGAGCGGTTGCTATAACCATATTTTCCACTGTATTAATACTCTGTTTGGCACAGTGCGCCCTAGTGAGAGCTTGGGACGGGAGAGGCAGCTAATCTCCCAGTCTGGAGCAACCTGAGCCCTAGTGGAGGTGTTCCCGATCTCTACCTTGGAGTCCCTACTGATGTACCCAGACACATGCTTATGCAATATTAAGCAGATAGTGTCTCACTCAAGCTGGCGGGCGCTGCATGCTCAACTGACAATAGTGCTATGACGATAGATTAGCAAAAATAAGTCATAGGGTACAATACTATAGGGATCCATACAATTCAAGAAGATTATAGTAAATAATAAAAATAAATACATTTCTGGGGGCTGGAATTCAGCTGTAAATTTTTGTATTTTTATTTTATTTAATTTTTTTAGTGTAGAATCCTGTCCCCAACAAACATTTAGTTAAGTCTACTTTCTTGTGGAGGAGAAATCTGCATACTGTATATGTCATAGTTTTTCTTGGATTGACTAGGGGAGAGTCTGATGGTGGTAGGCAGGCTATTCCATAGGATGGGAGCCACGCGCGAAAAGTCCTGCAAGCGCGAGTTGGCCGCACGGGTACGAGCGGCGGACAGAAGGTGGTCACGGGCAGAGCGGAGGGACCGAGAAGGGGCATACCTATGGATCTGTGAGGAGATATGAGGGGCTAAGATTATTCAGGTATGGGTTAGCACTTTAAAATGACTCCTATAGGATACAGGAAGCCAATCAAGAGTGCCAATACAATTCCTTACAATAGGAAAGAAATGGGAGGATAGTGCAAGGCAAAACACTGCATTGCGGCAATCAGATGGTCTCTCTCGTGTCTGAGATTTGCAGACACAAAACAGGTATAGTGGGTAAGAGATGCACAAAGGGGGGTTGAGACACACAAGCAGTAAGGGATAATAATAATAATAATGTACACACAAGTGGAGGGTAAATGGCATCATACCAAAAAAAATTACAATTCCCAAGAGGATGGAAAAGAGCCAACATACAAGCCTGTCTTGGGTGCCAAGTAACATTGGTACGCCCGTTTACAACACCGTGCACCGTGCATTCATAGCAACACTTTTCTACTAGGCAACTACATTTATTCCCAGAAAGATTAAATATTAAATGAGTACAGAAGAGCAATTAAAATTTTGCAATGAAAATATCATAATATTGAAACATATCCTTCATCAGATTGAATATCTATGAAATATGTAAAAATGTAATAATCACAGAACACAAAAATAACTAATTCGCAACATCTGTTACGACCTACACACTCACAACACTAAGCTGTGAAAAACCCAGAGTAAAACTTAATATCTAAATAACTACATGCATATGACATTTCATAAAATGTTTCATTCAAGCATTTGCTGGAGTATCAGATTATTTATACCAAGCAGCATCTCTAAATGTGTAGCAAACAAGATTTGATTAATCATTTTCATAAAATGCCAATATACTCAGACATGAAGAATTACATAATTGTTTAGTACAATAGCTACAATGATAGTCTGTAAACAGAAATATAATATTCCAATATAATCTCTATTGAACAAATAAAGTATTCGTAGAGATTTATTTTTTAATTTAGTAGAAACACTTATTATGGATTGATTGAGAATAGACTGAAGAAAAATATCAAATTGAACATTATTACTTGGGGGAAAAAATGTTAACTGCCTGTGTTTTACATAAATATATTTTGTTTTTAAAAATTTGATTTGATTTAAAGGAACACTATAGAATTTGGATTACAAATCTGTATTCCTAATGCTAAAGTGCACCTGTCCTTCGTTATATATAGGCCCCAGCCCCCTTTTCCAGAAAAATGAATAAAATACAGCTTTTTACTCACCTTTTTCCAATGCAGAGATATCATTGAGGTACAATGAATTCCTCTAGGGATGGTCCAGTACAACGTTCCTCATAGAGAAGCAACGGGGACCATTTGCACATGCGCCAAGGTTAACCTTTGTAATTCTTTGATGGATACATTTACACCGGTGTTCCCCAACCCAGTCCTCATGGACCTCCAACAGTCCAGGTTTTGTCAGCATCTCCACTGATATAAAACCGTGAAATACATAAATCCTGGACTGTTGGTGGTCCATGAGTATTGGGTTGGGGAACACTGGTTTACATCATCTCTCAATTAATGGTGCAAAAATAAAGAATGGGGAGACAAAGGTCATCCGAACAAAAGTGAATCTGAAGGACAACTATTTTTATTACAGATATTTAAACTACTTTATCTGGCATTCGGAACTGCATCCCGGCGCTTAATGGGTATACAGCAAACTTGTAGAATATATGATTGATCAGAACTTTATGAATAAAGCTGCAGAATTAAGAATCTATATATTCTACCTGTTTACCTGATCAGATACCCTCACTTACTTGAGTTATTCCCACTTACTAACAAGCCTGTTGCTATGTTGTTATTTCATGGTAGTTTTTGCCATTCTAAAATTCTCTGGCTCAGGTCAATTTCAATTATACTGAGCCATCATGTTAAGTGTTAAATCAAGAACCCAAATTTCCTTAGATGAGAAGGCCTACAGGAGATACCATCTGTGACCAGGGTCCTCTGGGCATTTCATGTGCACAATAACCATGTCCCACTAACTGTTTAACATTATTATATACAATGTAACTATGGCATTCTATAGCGTTCTTTGTGCTACAATCAGGAATGAGGGAAAGAAGACAAGATCCAATGATGCCTCTTCTAGTTTTTGTGTGTGTTTTTTTTGTTTTTGGCAGGGGGTACAATGAAATATTCTACAACTGAGTTACATGTCATGCAAACACGTTATGTTCTGTGGTTTGCTAGAGTTAATATATTAAAATGTTTCAAAAGACAACTGTCCTTTTATTCTTAGTAAGATGTATTTTTACCTAAAGCACATAAATGATCTCCGGAGTAAAGAATGCAATAATTTCAGGCGATTAACATGCACAACAGCAGCAAATAACACTTCCACTTATTGCTTGCTGTCTCACGCATCAGTAAGGATGAAAACAAGGTCAAAACACTGGAGTGTTTATTTTTCCCAAGATGTATGAATTTGTAATCTGGTTTTGACTACTGTGCACTATACAGTCCCTTGCAAAAGTATTCACCCCCCTTGGCATTTTTCGTGTTTTGTTGCCTCACAACCTGGAATTAACATGGACTGTTTGAGGATTTGCATCATTAAATATACATAACATGCCCACAACTTTAAAGATTTTTTTTTTTTTGTGAAGCAAACAACTAATAGGACAAAATAACAGAAAAGGTCAATGTGCATAACTATTCAGCCCCCTAAAGTCAATACTTTGTAGAGCCACCTTTTGCGGCAATCACAGCTCCAAGTCGCTTTGGATAAGTCTCTATGAGCTTGCCACATCTTACCACTGGGATTTTTGCCCATTCCTCCTTGCAAAACTGCTCCAGCTCCTTCAAGGTGGATGGTTTGGGCTTGTGAACAGTAATCTTTAAGTCTGAGCACAGATTTTCTATTGGATTGAGGTCTGGGCTTTGACTAGGCCATTCCAATACATTTACATGTTTCCCCTTAAACCACTCAAGCGTTGCTTTAGCAGTGTGTTTGGGGTCATTGTCCTGCTGGAAGATGAACCTCCGTCCTAGCCTCAAATCACACACAGAGTGGTACAGGTTTTGCTCAATAATATCCCTGTATTTAGCATCATCCAATTTTCCCTCAACTCTGACCAGTTTCCCAGTCCCGGCTGCTGAAACATCCCCACAGCATGATGCTGCCACCACCATGTTTCACTGTGGGGATGGTGTTTTTTGGGTGATGAGATGTGTTGGGTTTCCGCCAGACATAGCGTTTTCTTTGATGGCCGAAAAGTAAAATTTTAGTCTCATCAGACCAGAGCAGCTTCCTCCATACATTTTGGGAGTCTCCCACATGCCTTTTCGCAAACTCAAAACGTGCCATTTTGTTTTTGGCTGAAAGTAATGGCTTTCTTCTGGCCACTCTGCCATAAAGCCCAACTCTATGGAGCGTACGGCTTATTGTCGTCCTATGTACAGATACTCCGGTCTCTGCTGTGGAACTCTGCAGCTCCTCCAGGGTTACCTTATGTCTCTGTGCTGCCTCTCTGATTAATGCCTTCCTTGCCCGGTCCGTGAGTTTTGGTGGGCGGCCGTCTCTTGGCAGGTTTGCTGTTGTGCCATGTTCTTTCCATTTGGTTATGATAGATTTGATGGTGCTCCTGGGGATCATCAAAGATTTGGATATTTTTTTTTATAACCTAACCCTGACTTGTACTTCTCAACAACATTCTGAATTACCCAGAAGACTTTTGAAAAATCAGAGCTTGCCCTTTGATAATGGACACTTTACATAATGAATACACCCAAAAGATTTAATATATTCTAGAATGAGCAACAAATCTCTTCCAACACCTCTTAAGTGTGGATAATTTGAGTAATTTATGAGAACAGCAATGTTAATTTCCAAAAGCACAATAATACCCATGCACTTTGTGTGTGTATATATATTATATATGTATAAAAATTTCTTCAAGAATCTGCAGTGATTTACATCAAAATATGACGATCAGGTCGATAGGTGTATCAATATAATGAACCTTTAGGTCAATAAGATTGAATTTGGTTTCCAGGTATCAGTGCTGTGTCTATTGGAAAAGATTCACCCTCATATATACTATTGGCTGTAAACCTGTGTGATATATATAAGTGGAATGATTTTTGGTAAACGTATATTCTTGGATTTCTGTGGTTTGTTGGAAAATCCATACAGAAGGGTAACATTTGAAAACACTGCTTTGCCCCAGATAAAGAGGTCAGATTGTCTGCATCGGAGAGGTGTACATATTGTCCGTTCTGTCTAGAATTATGCTGCTCAGGTTTAAGCGAACATATTGGCACAGCATATTTTAGACATGTTGGGTTGAGATGTAACCCTGTAAATTAATAATGCACTGATATTTGCAGTGCCTTGCAAAAGTATTCACCCCCCTTGACTTTTTACCTGTTTTGTTACATTACAGTCAAAAGTTCAATGTTTTACTAATCTGAATTTTATGTGATGGATCAGAACACAATAGTCTAAGTTGGTGAAGTGAAATGAGAAAAATATATACATAAACCTTTTTTTTTTAGGAAATAGAAAACAGAACATTGGCATGTGCGTATGTATTCACCCCCTTTGTTATGAAGCCCATAAAAAGCTCTGGTGCAACCAATTACCTTCAGAAGTCACATAATTAGTGAAATGATGTCCACCTGTGTGCAATCTAAGTGTCACGTGATCGGTCATTACATATACACACCTTTTTTGAAAGGCTGCAACACCTAAGCAAGAGGCACCACTAACAAAACACTGCCATGAAGACCAAGGAACTCTCCAAACAAGTAAGGGACAATATTGTTGAGAAGTACAAGTCAGGGTTAGGTTATAAAAAATAAAAAAAAAATCCAAATCTTTGATGATCCCCAGGAGCACCATCAAATCTATCATAACCAAATAGAAAGAATATGGCACAACAGCAAACCTGCCAAGAGACGGACGCCCACCAAAACTCACGGACGGGGCAAGGAGGGCATTAATCAGAGAGGCAGCACAGAGACCTAAGGTAACCCTGGAGGAGCTGCAGAGTTCCACAGCAGAGACTGGAGTATCTGTACATAGTTGGGCTTTATGGCAGAGTGGCCAGAAGAAAGCCATTACTTTCAGCCAAAAACAAAAAGGCACGTTTTGAGTTTGTGAAAAGGCATGTGGGAGACTCCCAAAATGTATGGAGGAAGGTGCTCTTGCATGAGTCTGAGAGGTGAGCAGCACTGAGGGAGCCTCAGCACTGTAAAAATGTAAGTAAAACATTTAAAAACAAAATTAACATTTGTATTCCTAACACTTTACTCTTCCTTTACTCTTATTTATCTTCAATAGATCCACTCAAATGTACTATTAAACCTTTATTTCAAAACAAATGAAAAAAATCAAAAGGAAGTGTTTTTCTGTCACCAGGATATTAGTATTACAGCTATACAGAACCTTATATGAACTCCTAGACAGAGATCTCCCACTGATGACCAGCAGGTGACTTCTGGGAAGTGGTTAGTGTGACTTGTAAAGTGGGGTGGAACAGAGGCGGCTCTCTAATTAGGCGATTTAGGCGGCCGCCTAAATTGCCCGAGGGCAGACTGACATCTCGGGTTCTCGGTCTATGACCGAGGACCCGACACAGGAGGGGGCCCGGCGGCCTGCCCTTTGTGCCACCGGGTGCGAGGCCCCTCCTGTCAGTCCGCCCGGGGAGAGAGCCAGCCTCAGTCTGCAGCTCCGCCGGGTGTGAGCTGCAGACTGATGTCTCGCGATCTCCAGCCAATCAGAGCATTGCCGCGGGTTAGCCCTGTTGCACATAACTTAAAAGCCAAATTGCCCCTGACTGTCAATGTTAAGAATGCCTGTAATTCACAAATGATCTGCAACAGAATGGACCTAAACCATTAACAGTGAATTCACTGACAGACTCACATACACAGATAGATACACAGACACACACACAAAGACATGCACAGACACACATACAAAGAAACACACACACATACAGGCAAAAGGTACACATTTGAAGCAACCCTCCTGTTTCCTACCTTTTGGGTGCAGGAGTGTGGCTTCCCTGGTGTCTAGATAGCTGGCTCAAGATGTTGGGTTCAGAGTGTGTGTGTGGGGGGTGGGAGGGGAAGCAATGCGTGTGGTGGGGGTTACAGTGTTGGGGAGCAGTGTGCATATATGGGGGCATTGTGTAGGAGGGTGGCATTGTGGGGAGGGTTACTATATGTGTGTGAGTGGGGGGGGGAGGAGTTACAATGTTGTAGGGCAGTGTGGAGGGAGACCGTGTTTTAGTACCACGCCTCCCTACATTGAAATACCTATAAATCGATTCCCCAGTGATCCAGTGTGATCCTTAGTGGTCCGGTGGGCAGCTCTCATCTGCAGACTGTGAGGATATTCATGGTGATTATTATTAATTAATAATTTATTAAAATTTCAGGGGTTGATATTTTATTGGCGCTAATTCAATTTATTATTTTAAAAGCAAAGCGTTGCCACTATTTAACTCTTCGATTTAGAGAACGTTGTCCGAATTTGAT